CCCGCGTGTCTGCCGCGCCGTCTCCTGCTCAGCCTCTGTCTTCTGAGCCCAGGATCGGATGAGCTCTTCTGCCTTCCATCCCCCGTTAAAGGTTTGGCTTTGAGGCCGGTAGGGGTGACCGGAGAAGTGCTCTGACAGTCTCAGATAGAAGATGATGGTGGTCAAACCGTCCGGTGCCGGGCAGGATTGGTGTGTGTTGTCCATGTCCTCCAAAGCGCACACACGGAGAGCCCAAGTTCACCTACACGTGGGATGCCGTAAGACATGTTTGCCCAAACTGTTACCAGGTCTTGCAAGAGCAGTTTAAGATTTCCATGCCCCCCACCCCCCCGGCTGTGAATGTAGGTGCACATTTGTTGTGTGCAACTGAAGGATGCCGCTCAGTGTCTTTAACGGGTGGGCGATTAAGGGTGGCGGTGGTCCGGTCAGGCTAAAATGTGCTAGTTATTAGGGAGGAAAATGAGAGAAGGCACCGTCGGAGCCGCCTTTATGTCCTCGTGTTCCGCGGATGTGGATGAGTTCTCCCTGTGGGCTGGGCACTGTGGTAGGGCCTTTAAGTCTGTCCCATATTCATAATCCCAACAACTTCTTAACATTTCTTCTAGATAGATGTTAAAGTAGCTTAATCACACAATGATAATTCCAGGATCTGAAAGGGACTTAAGTCAGCTGGATTTTCAGGTAAAGGTAACACTTCTGTTCACGTAAGAGATGTGAAAATCCAGCCGTGGCTGGATTTGGAATCTGCAGTTGGAATCGGACAGACATAACCTCCTACGCAGGTAAACCTGTTCCCTTAGGTGGGTTCCTGCTGTGCTTTATGCAAACTTTAAAACTCTTGTTCATCTCTTTTATATTATAGTTATTTATATAAATCTCTTGCTTTACTGTGACCTCCTCAAGGGCAGGGGCTGAGCCTTATTTTTATGTCACCAGTGCTTGGCATATGTTGTTGTTGTCGTCTCTATTTTTAACAAATAAAACAAATAGTAGCAAATAAATACATTTGTCATTCCCGAAATGTCTGTCAATTTTTTGACCCATAAAGTAGTTTGTTACTAGTCTGAGTTTAGAAGCTTACTTAATGAAAGTTTAAATTTATTTGAAATCTGATTATATTTCAGACAGAGATCTTGATGAAATAATTTACTAATTAAACTCAGGAATAGGGACCAGGGATTGCATTACTTAGGAGCCAAAAAGGAGACTCATAGTTTGGATATTTATTTCTCCAGATTTAGTAATAACAGGGAAGAAGTCGGACCACCAGATAATTAAATTTAATGTAAGAATTGTGTCTGAAAGAACTATAGAGTAAGGGAAAGCAACTGTCATCACAGAGCTGAGTGGTAGGTGCAGAAAAGTCTGGCCATTTTATTCTTGAAAAATCTGGAGAGAATATTGGGAAATGTTTTGGGAATATAGTAGACATATTTAGTTAATATAATAAATGTATCCAGATTTAGTATATTAGGACCAATTAAGAACTGATATTTATGAGGCATGAGATGAGCCTTTATGCAGTAGGTTGACCTGCAACTTGGGTTTAGGTGTGGAAGTATAGAAAAGTGTTCTTGTGTGCAGTTTTTTGTTTTTTGTTTTTTTGAATTGGAGTCTCACTCTGTTGCCCAGGCTGAAGTAAAGTGGCATGCTCACGGCCACCGCAGCCTCAACCTAGTGAACTCAGGCAATTCTTCCGCCTCAGTCTTCCAAGTTGCTGGAACTACAGGCGCATGCTACCACACCCAACTAATTTTTTTATTTTTCTTTTGTAATTATTTTTTATTTTTTTTAGAAATAAATCAGGATTTATTGAAAGGACAGAAAACTCCCACAGTGGGAGGGGACCCGAAGGGATTACCCAATTTTTAAATTTATTGTAGAAATGAGGTCTTACCAAGTTGCCCAGACTGGTCTCAAACACCTGGGCTCAGGCAATCCTCTCACTTAGGCCTCCCAAAGTGCTGGGATTACAGGCATGAGCCACCGTGCCTGGCCACTCTCTATTTTTTTGTAGATAGGGGATCTATCTGTGTTGCCCAGGCTGGTCTTGAACTCCTGGCCTCAAATGATGCTCCCACCTTGGCCCCCCAAAGTGCTGGAATTACAGGGGTGATCCATTGTGCCCAGCCAGTGTGTACTCCCTTGAAACACTTCACATCCTTGGACTGAAAAGAGTATAACATAAAAAATACGCTTTAAAAAAAATCACTTGGCTGGGCACAGTAGTAACTCATGCTTATAATCCCTGCACATTGGGAGGCTGAGGCGGGAGGATTGCTTTAAGCCAGAAGTTTGAGACCAGCCTGGGCAATATAATGAGACCCGGTTTCTACAAAAAGTAGAAAATTTAGCTGGGCATGGTGGCATGTACCTGTAGTCCTAGCTACTAGGGAGGCTAAGGTGGAAGGATCCTTGGATCCTTTGAACCCAGAAGTTCAAGGCTGCAGTGAGCCATGACTGCCACTGCACTCCAGCCTGGGCAACAGCGAAACCCTTCCCCCCCCCCAAAAAAAGTCACTTAACTTATAGGCTAGGGATACAGAAAGCTTGCATAGCAGAAAACACAGTGGAGTGTTCCAGTATTTTATGAATTTTTACACTTACACTGTCCAGTATTCTAGCCACCAGTCATATCTGGCCAAAAGTAATAAAATTTAAAATGTAGTTGCTCTAGCTGTGTTCCAAGTGTCCACGTGTGGTTAATATCTGCTGTTTTGGACAGTGAAGGTAAAAGCCTTTTCATTATTGAAGTAAGTTGTGATGAATAGTTCTGTTCTAGACCTTTAGCAAGTACATTTGACCCTTGAACAACATGGGTCTAAACTACATGGGTCCACTTTTTACATGAATTTTTTTTCAACAAAAGTATTGGAAATTTATCTTGGAGATCTGTAACAAACTGGGTAGTCTAGAAACTGAAAAAATTAAGAAAAAGATGTCATAAGTATATAAAATGTATGTAGATACTAGTCTGTTTTATCATTTACTACCATAAAAAATACACATCTATTATTAAAAATTAAAACTTATCAAAACCTCACACACAAACACTTAGAGATCCTACATAGGGCCATTTTCAGTTGTGAGAAATGTAGACATGAAAAGATGCAAACCAGGTGTGGTGCCTCACACCTGTAATTCCAGCACTTTGGGAGATGGAAGTGAGAGGATTGCCAGAATCCAGGGGTTTGAGACCAGCCTGGGCAACTTGGGGAGACTGTGTCTCTATAATAAATCAAAAAATTAGCTGGGCGTGGAAGCACATGCCTGTGGTTCCAGCTACTTGGAAGGCTGGGGTGGAAGGATCATCTAAGCCCAGTAGGTCAGGGCTGCAGTGGCCATGAGTGTGCCACTGCACTCCAGCCTGGGTGACAAAGTGAGACTCCTACTCAAAAAACAAAAACAAAACAAAAAGATGCAGCATTAAATTATGACTGCATAAATTTAACTGTAGTACATTCTGTGCTATTATAACAATTTTGTAGCCACCTCCTGTTGCTGTTGTGATCAAGCATTGCCAGTATCTGCTTAAAACAGTCATCTCTGCCTTGCCTCTCCAGTAAATTGCATATTGCAGTAAAAATTGTTCTCATGTGGGTCTTGCTTATTTTTTATCATGTTTAGTGCAAAACTGTAAACCTTGAATAACACATAGGACCCATATGAAGTGCCACTCGTAATGCTGGAAGTGCTCCCAAGAAGCAAGAAAAGTCATGACACTACAAGAAAAAGTTGAATTGCTTGTTAATATACTGTAGCTTGAGGTCTTAAGCTGTGGCTTTCTGCCATTTCACATCGACAGTTCATCTTGTAACTTACAGTATTGATAAATACAGTATTAGTACTGTAAATATATTTTCTCTTATAATTTTCTTGGCTTACTGTATTATAAGAATATAGTACATAATATATATAACAAGAAGTATGTGTTAATCAACTGTTTATGTTATTGGTAAGACTTCTGGTCAGTGGTAGGCTGTTAGTAAAGTTTTGGGGGAGTCAGAAGTTATGTATGGATTTTTTACTGCACAGGGAGTTGAGTATCTCTAACCCCAGCATTGTTCAAGGGTCAGTTGTACTTCCAAATTTTGGAAGGTTTGGTTTTACAGTCAAATGTCTTTTAGTCAATAGTAGAAGATTTAAATTAAAAATTATCAGGCAAGAAATGTCCTTTGATTAATATTTTCTCTTTCTAATGGGTTCCAATTTTGTGATTCCTATAGATTTTGCTTAGAGGACATGCTGATTAAGGTAAAAATAGGTATAGTCCATTTGTACTGAATAGCAAAAAATGTTATCTTTAAAACCACTCTTGTTATGAATAAGATAACTCAGTATACAGAGAATACTACAATTGGGAAAGTAAAGGTCTTTTCAGAAACTCCTCACTTTTAGAAATAATGGATTGAGATTTTAAGTATTGAGATTTTAGAGCTAAGTTTTACAGGTGAGGAGATAAGCACATAGATAGGCAAGCAACTTTACTAGGGGTATACAATCAAACTGGTAGAGTCTGACCTGAAATCCAAAATCATTCACTAAAATTTTACCATGCATTAATAAGGAGTGACACTAGTAAGACAATTGAATGTTAGGTAATTAATAAAGATTTAAGATAAATTGAGCGTGACTTTACTTCTGACAAGGTATGTTTTCCTGTTTGGAATTCCTTAGCTTGGACCTGGAATAGACCCACCCTATTGACAGTTGAATAAATTAGAGTTGAGGTCACTGCTGAAACCAGCTTTTTTTTTTTTTTTTTTTTTTTTTTGAGTTAAAATCTCACTCTGTCACCCAGGTGGAGTGCAGTGGCACACTCTTGGTCACTGCAACCTCAACCTGCTGCATTCAGGCAATCCTTCCGCCTTAGCCTTCCAAGTAGCTAGGACCACAGGTGCGTACCACCACACCCAGCTAATTTTTGATTATTGTAGAGATGAGGTCTCGCCATGTTGCCCAGTCTAGTGTCGAACCCGTGGGCTCAGGCAATCCTCTTGGCTCTATCTCCCAAAGTGCTGGAATTATAGGCATGAGCCACTGCGCCTAGCTTGAAACCAACTTTCTAAGGAGAGCTGGAGATAAAGGTACCCTTGAGGAAAAATGCCTGCTGAGTATATTTTCTTCCTTTATTTGCCAGAGGGTGTCACCTTCTGATGCTTACTTAGTTTGTAAAACATTGTTGTTGTTTTTGTGTTGGAGTCTCACTCTGTTGCCCAGGCTGGAGTGCAGTGGCATACTCATGGCCACCACAGCCTTGACCTGCTGGGCTCAAGTGATCCTTTCTCCTTGGCCTCCAAGTAACTGGAACCACAGGCATGCGCCACCATGCCCAGCTAATTTCTTTTTTGATTTATTGTAGACACAGGGTCTCGCCAAGTTACCCAGGCTGGTCTCAAACCCCTGGTTTCAGGCAGTCCTCTCGCCTCCACCTCCCAAAATGCTGGGATTACAGACATGAGCCACTACACCTCCCTAAAACATTCTTTTAGAGCGAGTTTGGCAGAGTTTCTTAAAAGAGCGAGTTTGGCAGAGTTTCTTAAAAGAGCTAGGCAGTAAATATTTTAAGCTTTGAGGCCCAGGTGGTCTCTTATTAGAACTATTCAACTCTGCCCTTGAGTGGAAGCAACCTTAGGTAATGTTTAAACAAATGAGTGTGACTGTATACCAATAAGACTACAAAAGCATTCAAATAGCCAGTTGTCCATGGTTTACCCACCCCTGCCGTACAGCATTTTGATAGTGTAAGCATTTTCAGAATGGTGAAGTTAGCCCTAATTAC